GGCAACACTGGAATATAATAATCGCAGACTATGACCTCAGAAACATGCGTAGCCGGCGTCGAGAGGTTAAGCAACCGTCCAATGAATTGGAGCGCATAAAGCAGTTAATTGATAATCGCGGCTATTTATCCGTTGTTCATGAACTAGCCGTCCAAAATTTCTAGGTTTCTCACTGAATGATCTGAAAGAACTGTTCAGCAAGCATAATGAATTGCTGCTTTTTGACTCAACTACGCAGTGTAATCCTGGATCATATCACCTGTGGCACATTGTCGTCATAGATGGTCACGGCGGAAGACAAAGTGTTTATTACGATTTCATTGAAAATGCGATCACGGACTCGTAAAAAGGGGTCCTTTGGCATTTTTTATAAGACCATGCCGAGATCAGCAGGATGTAACTAGTTACCTGTGACCGGCATGTGGCGTAGCTTGCCGTCATACAGAAGCATCTGCCGTGGGTGCACGATCATTTATGCCCATTTCTCGTAGTTAGAAATATTACGAATCGTCCTAACAACGTATCAGCAGCTTCGCTCGGGGACAAGGATGTTCTACTAGTGTCCGAAAGGACTAGTTTACAACGACTTCATCATCGAAAAGCACGGCTGTACTATTGACTTTGGAAGAACTGGATTCCTCAGACAAGCCAGCGTGCAGCTTCTGCCCGGAAACATGATGTGAGCTTTGGGAAAGGCACACAACATGATAGAGGCCGCCGACCGTAACATCAGTAGTAATCTCTAACAGTCTCCTTTAATGCTAGGCTGTGTGAGAGCCGGTTTGAAAAGTAATGAGCGTTTACGAAACAAATACGGTATGCAAGTGGCTCACGGCTTATTGACAGGTGCAGATAAGGCTCTCTCAGGTGACCCCGTTTTAAGCCTTTTGAATTGCTTGACGCCTTTTGCTCGGAATCTAGCCTTAGGAAAAATAAAATAACGGTCGAGGTTACGGAAGCTGGTAGTGACTTGCTAAAATTCTCAGACGACAGTTAGTCCACCTAGACAGACTTTTGAAATGTACTTGTTCATTTAGAAACCAGTGGCTGTTAACCGTCACATGTCGAAGGCTTGCCGGGTTAAGCAATGTGACCTGTTGGTAAATTTGAACACGAATTGCTGGTCTATGCTCGGCCTTCTAACACAACCAACTGGCGAACAAGTTTCATCGTCCACGGTAAAATGCAGTGAGTTTTCATTAATAAGGGTTCCAAGCTAACCATAGGCCATAGGGCTCCTTATAACTATTTGGGAGTTTTGCATCGCCTTTATAATAACAATAATAATAATAATAATGTTTATTCCCAACTTGTGGGTGGCATACCGTCTGGCAGGATCATAGTTCTACAGTCAGAATGGAGCATGACTGAGGGATTTTTGGGGGTACGGATAGCACAAAAAGAGGACAATACCACAAACAGTGAGGAACTCCTGATGATATAGCAATAATAGGTTATTTCCCAACTTTTTGGGAAGTCATGCAGATGTAGGCTCACGGATAATTTTCATTTGGTTAGGGGACCATGTGAGTGTAGACCGAGCACCAGTCAGTTTGAATGAATAACACTTCTGAGAGGCGTTTAAGCAACTGCGGTCGAGGACTGAAGCCTGAGAAGAGGGGCGAAGAGAAAGAAATAGAATGACTGTCGGCAGTGACAGTGGACAAGTGAAAAGCGGACAGGCAACAGTTTCCGAGATAAGTGGTAAGAATCGTAGCTTAACTGAGGTCTACTACATCAACCTAACAGGAAAGTAAGATTAAGGATCACCAGTCACCGAGTCAATGCTGTCAACTCCAGAAAACGAATGGTGCATGGCAAAAAAGCCATTAAGTGCTAGCTGTGACTGCTTGTAATCAAGAAATCATAAGTTATTAGCACTTTGCGCATATGATAGCTCTAGATGACAAGAGGGAAGAACATGTGTGCTATGTTTGAGTGATGAAGTGGGCTAGGGTTGGTGTGACCCCACTAAGACGAGAGTGGCAACACCTTGCACGTTGACGTTAGCCGTAAGCCTCACAGGCACTCTCAGGCCACCCCATGCATGAATGTTTTTTTTATATATTCTTTTTTTAGAACAAACGGGAGGACAGCTGTCGTCCGCTTGTATTTCTTGGTGTTGTGGGACAAGTGACAACCGGAACAAGGCCAATCCAGCTACAGACAAACAGCAACGTTGCTCTTTTTTTTTTTTTCTGAATTAAAGGCCAGGCTCAGAACCACCGGCGATGGGCGATACACCCGTGCTACTGGAGGGGTGGCGAGTATACGAACGCACCATGGTGCAACGTAACAGGGCGACCCTCCCTGCAGGGCGTACCCGTCCACCACACGAGGTTTTCATCCCTCGTGCATGCTGCCAGATCTGCAAGGTGGAAAACCATCCAAGCAGTCATAAGTGCGGCTTGTGCATTCATAAATAACTCCAGCTACCAGATATTTTATCCGGTCGGGGGAAAGTCAGGCCAGTAAAACAGCTCAGTCATTTCGAACAAGCGAACAGCAAACAGCCACTGGAAGAGGCAAGTCGCGGGAGCAAATGAATCATCAACTACCTTTTGGGCAATGGGAGTGGAATGGAGATGTTCAGAGTCTGTGTACTAGGGCTAAACGAACACGAAGCATTGGTGTGAACCACTTCGTCAAGTAGAGGTGCACCGGTGCTATGTGTATGTGTGAATGATTGGGCTGTGGGGCCAAACAAGTATTTCGTTCATAGCGCATCTCCAGACCCACCATTTGATATGTGTACGGCGCACGTATTCAGGGGATGCAGAATGGTTCGGAACAGTGTGGAACTGAGGCTTTAGTTTGGCTGAGGTTATTTAAATCCAGCCAAAGCAAAGCACCAGACATTAAATAGAGCTGACAGAGTTACTCAGGGATGGGACCAGGCTTGAAGAACTAGGAATAATTGGGCTGGGTACAAAAGCTGAAGGTCGGAGGAGGGATATGCAACCGGGTCAGTGGAGACAGGCATGAGAGAGATAGAGTGGCGGGTTATAGATAAGAACACTTGGGAGGGTAGTTGTCGCAATTGCGGACTAATGCTAAGGGTTCCAGTTTGGTAAGTGTAAGTTCTAGGACCTAACAATAGGACAGTCAAGGTGAGTGCGCTGATTAGAAAGGCTTAGGGCCTATTTCAAAAAAAGTATCTAGTGTAAACTGAGGCGCGATAGAAAGGTAAGAATCGATGGTTTTTCGGAAGCCAACATGAGATGAAACAGTATGGATATGGGAGGGGAGCTTGTTCCATAGTTTAGAATAGAGGCAAAGGAAAAAGTTTTGTCTAAAGACACACTATTCTACATTGTCTGATCGTTCCTACTTTTCCAATTCGGGTTCGCTGGTTCACAACGGAAACTGAATGTTAGGTTAAAAAATCGCATTATGTCGACGTGGGTAGCCTAACCGTATGCGCGTTACGCAGTCTTCATACTTGTAACGCTTGAATGGGGATGCTTCACCATATAGGTGAGAGCGCCAAAACCAGAAAACTGTGAACTGGTGGCCTGGCTGTAACAGTGGGATTGCTGCAGTACTTGGAGATTGGAATGGTGTGGGGTCAGCCTCGTTTCGGTGCAGTGACCAAAGGTTCGTTGCCGTTTAGCCGTCTGATCATAAAAAGGAATATTTCCCAATAAATAGAAATCTAGGCTACTGCGTGCGGATAGCTATTACGTGATCCGTTTGCATATTCCTGAACAAGATGTATGACATCGTCGGAGTGTACCTCCCGGACAGGACGATTGGCTAATTTCTTACTTGGGAGGTAAGGGACACGAGACAACAGACAAAATTGTAGAACTGTACGTTTCGGTCATTCGGTGGGCATTTTTAAAGCATAAGCCATAGGGAATGATGCATACGCGACAAAATGCGTGTCGTGCAAAATACCTCCTTGTTGGAAACTTTCTGCGGAAAAAGGCAATAACGGTTTTTAAAACAGAGCGTGAAATGATGTTGCACGAGCATAAGATGTTAACTGTCGTTCAATCGGGACGACCAACTGCAGGGTGAAAAAACGCTCATTCCGTGAAAATAACGCAAGAAAGCTACGTCAAGTGCACGGAAGGAGCGATTGTGACCCTAAGTGAAGATTTTCGTGTGCATGTTGAAACGAAAGTGTGTTCCCTGAACACCTTAACACAAAATGATGAAATATACGTTCTGCTTTGTTGTGATGTAACGCTCAGTTTTGGATCCTCAAACGCCGAACTACGGTTTAAGAACATCGTAGCAATTAAACTTATGTGTATATGCTACAACATTAGTGCTTCCCGCCAAATTCACACTTGTATGAATAAAAACCACCTGGCTTGTGCATGACCTTAAGTCAAATGTTTACGCTTTCTGGCTTGTCCACAACTTACCAATCAGAATGCTGGCTTGTGTATGAATCGCATGCCAGGCCTCAGCGGTGGGTTTAGGTTTGAGCCCAATTTGACCGGCTGATTACGCCAAATCTGTTGATTCACCAGATCTGATTTTCTGGATCCTCATTTACCGCAATGTACACTTCTTTGTCATGTGTCAGGCGAGAAGTTCCTTGTTTTGCCCTACCTCATTTTTTCTTACCCGCCAACCTCAAATTCTAAGGCTTGGTTTTACTCGGTGTTTTCTCCAAGAGGGGATAATAGATGTGTATACCTACTCGTGCCTGTTTAGTGATGACCACGTCTACATCAGACAAAATCCACCGCCAAGGACGCTGTGGCTTTTCCCTAAACCACCTGTACCCGGCAGTCATGGTTCATTTCTGAATGTATCCTTATGATCATGCCTGACGGTGGTCGCACCTAAGTTGGGAATAATCATTATTATTGCCTAAAATGCTACCTAATGGCTGGCAACCCATTTGTCGAAAGGGCAAAACTCTTCCGTATGACACGCAGAAGCCACACACAAAACTGCGTCGGGTGACTAACTGGACATTCCACCCCCACGGTATAACGCAGAACAATCGGCGTGAGAGGCTATCAATAACACCCAAACCAATGTCCCCGAAACCGCCCGGTCAAGAAAAAATACTGATGGTCATCACTTTATCAGGACAGAAGGGTAATATGGCCATGAGGCCTAACGGAAATGGCTTCCGATTCTTTAGGCCGATCCTCAACGAACTGCGGGATATTATTGACGAAGTTTCTGACCCAAAACCGATTGTCAGTCGTCGATCAGTGCATTGAATTGGTGAGATACAGGCCACTGATTGCTATTTTTATTTACTCGAATTCGTCCATATTTCACGAAAATAATGCCAAAGACAATAGGATCGCCATACCACAGAAATCGCCGGTAGTTGCACTGTGTGTATTCAAATACGATTTCAAAACCACCGAGGGCGCAATAAATGTATCAAGCGCCGCAGACGGTATCAAAAACGCATGAACAATGTGTCACATTTGATGTGTATGTAAATGCCACACTCTGAAAGTCTGGGCGCTTCCTGGATGTGGCACTGGAAATCGGCAGTCAAGAGGGTACCCGGACATGGCTACATTTTTTAAGTAAAGCATTGCTAGACAATAACACGTAATATGCGGTGGCGATGCGATGACCATCTCTATAGAGGTCCCAATTACCAGGTATGCATAACTAACCTGTAGATAACTGTCTCGTGTAATGACAATGATCTAGCTGGAGACCGCAAGGGCACACTCTTCAGTGGGAATCCCCAGTGCACAATCGAGAAATCGCCATCTAATTTTCGTCTTACGACCAGACACCGGCCCTCGCGAGCTACGGTTCTGAGACAGCCGTTGTTAAACTCTTGAAAACGCTTTGGTTCCGCTTCTCAAACGGATCAGGACTCACATCCGTACAAAAGAACTGCCCGTACTGAGGCCCGATACACAGGTCGCTTGATTTTCACGCATATACCTCCTCGATGCCGTAGGTGTTTCAAATTAGCAAACGCGACCTGAGCATTGCAGGTTCGCGCATTGACCTCATCCGTCACATTACAATCTAAACCAATACGAATTCGGATGTATATAAAACGCTGCACCATACTACCTCTCCAACGGGATCGGACAAATACTTGCAATCTTATATAAGCTTTGTTCTACTTCTGAGGATTCTCTCGGCCAACCAAAAATATCCCCATCTCACGTAATTGCATATTACAGCTAAATCAGCTCAAAAAATGACATCCGTTACAGGACTGTTCGGAAACCGAAATATTTTAATGCAGTGGTGGCATGGCACAGCTATACCCAGTTTGATAGTGCACCCGCAACTATGCCCTTACTTCTCTTCACCGTAATCTATCTGTAACGGTCGAACGGTATCTTCGAGTGACGCGTAATACCAGAACCTCCAGGTAGGCAAAACAAAGTCGGAGCTGGGTTTCTATACGGTACTATTAGGGTAAGAAAAATTCACAATTTGTACAAACCTCGACAGTAGATACGCGTCCAAAACAAACAGTCCGCTTGGACTTCAAAAGTGCAAAGCAAGGGAGCAAACAGGCTCCAACGTGCGACAGTCACACGTGCAAAGTCAGATACAAATGGCCGGATGACCT